GATGAGTTATTAGATAAGATAATGTAAATACATGCCGAGGTTGGTTTCACCTTGCCATCCTTGACATCTTGAAAGTATTTATGGAAGCTTCGTTACCAATGCTCTTTGTCATTGTAGTAGAAGCAAGTTCCCTCTTTGGGATCAGAGATTGGGGGAGCATTAGAACTAGATTTTCATTTGGGTCCATTGCTTGATGACCCAACTTGGAATTTCCCTTTCATTTTTGCATAGGAGGACCTTTCCTCTTGTTCCCTTTCCCCTGGTCAATGGCCAAAACGGGAGCAATAACATGAGTGCAGACAACACCTTATCCCTTCATTCCTACTTTATTTGTTCGTAGGAGGTTGTGTAATTGAGACAATGTAGTTTCATTATGATTCAAATCATAGGTCAATATGAAATGATTATAACAACTTGGAAAAGAGTTAAATACTATGTCGATTGCCAACTCTTCATTAAAATTCACATTCAGCTTGACAAGCCTGCCCATGTATCATTGCATTCTATGAACGTGGCTGCTAACAGACTCTCCCTCCTTCATATTGCTACTAATGAGGGACTTTATCACCTTGTACTTTTCCTGACGAGCTGGAGTCATTGTGGCCACCATGATGCAAGCAACTTTTGTTGCATCATTGTAGTGTTTCTTGTAGGCGGCCATTTCTGCAGGAGTGGCATTTTCTTTGTTGATCTCATCCAATGGTCTCTTAAGGGTATACTCCTTGTCCTCGAAAGGAAGGGCCATTTTTATGTTGTGTATCCAACCATTGTAGTTGGTGTTATGCAATTACACCTTTGAGCAGATGTTGAACAAGGAGAAATTGTTGTTGGAGGAGGAGAAGGAGGAACTACAAGCACCGGTTGGAGTAGACATCTATAAAAGAAAGATAGTTTTAGTTAGATAAGAATAATCCTCAATATAACATCCAAAATGAAATATCAAGGCTAAGATCCAACTAAATAATTCAGAACCTAGAGAAAATATGTCCTAATCTAATTGTAAATTATATAAAGGTAGGTAAATGACGATTTACCAATTCCACCACAAGAAAACGAAATTTGAATGAACTAGGTTTGTAATGAAATTCCTAGATCTTTTGAGATTCATTGAAACTCTTCAATGGCATGTCTAATCTCGATTATGCCCAAGATCACAAATAAGATGTGAAACCATGCAAATTAGCTTGGTACTGTCGATGTCATTCATCATCTCACTTTAATGTGTCGGTAAACCACACGCGCTCCATTAATCAATGATAATTTTCGAGACACCCAGTGCCAATATTTATTAGTCCCTATTAGTCTGCTAGTTAACCACACATGCTCCACTAACGACTTATAAAGTGCAATATGCAAGTTCATATGTTAGCATAAAAATTCACATTTTTCCTAAAGTTCGACTAACGACCCTCCACTAATAAAGGAAGTGGTGGGTGGGAGTAGACACTTATTCAACCGCCATTTTATAGGTAGTTTCCTTATACCCCCCTTATATCTCAGCTTCGTGAATGAGAGGTACTACGGTTCGACTGGCTCATACTTATACATATAATATAATTAAACATTTAATTCTACATATAGTATAAGGTGTATTTTTTAAACTTTGCAAAAACACTAGTTTATATTTTAAATTTCAAAAATTTAATTTAAAATTTAAAAATAAACCTAATAATATTTGAAATTAACTATTAAGTTCAATTAATATCCAAATTAATTGTTTATACACTTAAAAAATCAATCCTATTAATCAACAAATAATTAATCAAGTCAAATACTTATCTCCTAATTTCTAGGCTTTCATATTATCATGACATATTCAGTAAAATTGGATTTGGCAAATAAATATAACATATAATTATCATATGAAATCAAATTAGGCAGATAAGCATTAGATATCTTGGATCCGATGCAGCTCAAGTTGTGAGCAAGGATTTTACAAAAAAAAAATTGTTTCTTTTATTTTATCAATTCACTAATGCGCAAATACATGAAAGATAGCTATAAGGTTCTGATACCATTTATGGAAAACTTAGGTTACATAATTTCTACGCACTAAACGGAAAACAATTAAAAAATTCAAATGATTAGGGCACATTCAACGTATTGAGGATCTATGTTTTTCACGTATTGGAAACATATTATGAATTATCATCCTCGAAAATATTTCTTATAAAAATCAAATTCAATAGAATAAGAAATATACCTTGAAGATTGTTAGTGCAAACAATCTTGAATCGTTCTTCAAATCTTTTGGCAGCTAGCACCACAAGTGTCGTACCTCTAGTGGTTCACACCCAAGACTAGCAACTAAGGATTGTGGAGATGGAGGAGGTGATTTTCGGATAGATATCTTCTAGGGAAAGGAGTATTGGATTATATAACCATAGGGGTGTAGTTATAGTGCAGTCAGGAAACCCTAGATAAACCCAAACCCAATATAATAATATTATCTTGAACCGGGTAATTATCCAACTTCCTAATTATATACCAAGGATAATTATATAAACCCTAAGACTCCTTAAAACAGTCCATAGCCTCATGGAGGGTTCTAGAATGCCTGTTGCTCAACTATTGAACAATTGCACTTCAGTCCCTACAGTTTTAATTATTTCATTTAATTACCGAATTAACTCCAATTATTTTCTGATTAAATTAATCAAACAATATGATTTCTAATATATTATTTTCATAACTTATTAATAAATCAATTATTTCAATTTATTATGCGAATACTAAAATAACCTCACTCTCCACAATAATCTTGTCCAATTGCTAAGTTTTAGGGCAACCCAAAATAACTCTGCTATTATCAATTCAAGTTTATAATAATTATAGTTATGGACTTAGACACCTAATCTAACAGTTGGAAAAACATAACCTTGTCGTAGAGAACGACGCCCCAATCCATCAGTTGAGCACCCATCCTCAGACTGCAGGTCAATCATCACATTTGCTTCCTACATAAACCCTGCGAATCAAATTAACATTACTTTGAATAAGGTGTTCGACACCTTAAGATCAACTAACTCGTACAAATCTATACCATTCAGAATCAAACTACGATGGCCATAAAGGCCCGAACGTATACCAAACTTATCTTCATCCTGGTCATTTATATTAAACAACTTTTATTGTTACAAATTATTAGGAAAATTCAACATCGAAAATAAATTCATGTGGTCATTTGATGAACATAGTCATACTCTATTTAACTATGTGTCTCTAAAGATAATTGTTATAATAAACAATTTTTGTGACAAATTATTAGCAAAATATCACACTTAAAGTATCAAATTGACATTCATTCGATTTTGATTTTAATGATCATTGGAAAAAAAAAACTTTTACTATTTTTGAAAAATGTGTTTCATTGAATTTTATAAAATAATGTATTTTAAATACTAAAAAATTGTATGAAAAATCCAATTAAATCAATGTAGCTCACCGGATAGCCTAACATAATATATATATATATATATATATATATATATATATATATATATATATATATATATATATATATATATTAACTATCTTATAAAAGAAATCTCACTATTTCTAAAAATAAATTGAATATAATAATATTATTTTTTTTAAGACGTTCAAATCATTAAGCTAATAGTACAAGTAGTCATCAATAAAATAATATTAAATTTTAACCTGTGTTTTGAATCCATATATTTCTCAACAAATTCTATCTTCTTCCCTGAATTTCGGATAATTCAAAATTTGAAACCATCAGAAAATACATGTTGATTCAAATATCCCTCCTACAGATGACCCTTTCTCAACAGGTTTTTATTTTAATCCTTACTTGTAATTGATTTTATCATTTTTAATTTTTTGTATTTTTATCTTATAAATATATTGGGTGAAGGCTTTATTATATCAGGTTTGTTCCTAAAAATGTTTTTACTATGTTTCATTAATGTGTTGTCTTTGCAGGTTCAAATAACTCAACCAAACGGGTCAGTTAAAGAATTATATTATCATTAGTTTGTATATTCTGACATCTTACTTTTGCAATAAAAAACGGTTAAATACAAGATTTGACATTATTAAGGTTGTTTGTATATTTTTCATCTTGTTTAGTCTAAAAATGAAACATTTTTCATCATTGATCCTTATAATATCAAGTTTCATCACATGGACTTCCTGATTGTAGTGATTATTGTCCTTATTATAAGGTTCTATATAGATTTTGTTCAATATTTTAAGGTTTCGAGAACCTAAATCAATATGAATCCTTGAATTACATACCATCATTGAAAATGTTTTAATTTGTGACCAAACTTAGTTTAAAATCACAATGAACAAGTTGACACCTGAGTATTTTGGCCTTCTCAAAGGCCTATTTATCGACTTTTGAATCACAACACCTGATATTCTAAAGGTTTATTTTTATAAACTATTATTTATATATTTTAGCATTTTACTTAGTAGGACATTAAATTAATAAATGAATTAAGCAAAAAGAAAAAAAAAAGAAAAAAAAAAAAGAAAAAAAAAAGACGATAAACAGTACAAGTGGTTTGGGTATGTATAAATGGAAGTAATAATCATTTAGGGGGTGTTTGGCAAAAAAGCTTATTGCTTCTTAGTTTATTAGCTTATAAGTTAACAAGTAAGTATATGGTAACTTATGAAAAAATGACGTATTAGAGGTTCCCCACCGGAATAAGTTATTTTAATCCAAATATTTTTTTAACTTATACTGATTTGGAACCTAATAAATTGTTTTAAAACAGCTTAGCCAAACACCCCCTTAATATGGTATGATAATGCTCTAGAAAAATGGATGTCATTTAATATTCATTTCTCGAAGTAAACGTAAAATGGTTTTTAACTCTAAAGAGATCAAATTATTCGCCGCCCGCCGCTTTGCGCTGATAGACGGCTAGTGTGTGTATATATATATATATATATATATATATATATATATATATATATATATATATATATATATATATATATATATATATATATATATATATATATAATATGTTGCTGCAAATCTTTTCATGTTTTAAAAGTAAACAATACATCATCCGCATTTTTCATTTATTTATGATAGATTCAAAATGATCGCAATATCTTTTTGATGATGTTTAAGCTGCCGGAAAAGAAACAATTTAACTGAGTGGTTTTTTCCAAAACTTTTGTTGACATATTGACCAATAGCAACCAAATATCAACTGCACTTCCTTAAAAGAACCTCACTGATTAATTTTTCAAAGTTGAGATAAGACGATCCACTAATAGCAACGGCTTCTTCTGCTTCCTTCTTCCACTCCAAAGCCTTACTTTTCATAATCTTCCCTTTCTTCCCATCCATCATATCCCTCACCTGAGCCTCCACCTCCTCTCTCTTAACATCTGTATCAATTTCCATTCCAATCCCCCACTCTACACAACTATACCGACAATTTGTTTGTTGCTCTGCAAAAAACGGCCAACAAATCACTGGAACACCGCTGCTAATACTCTCAATAGTTGAGTTCCATCCACTGTGAGTCAAGAATACCCCGATTGCTGAATGCCTCAAAACCTTCATATGCAGATCAATAAAGAAGTATATCAATGTCATGACAAGAAAACAACCATCAACATTAAGCGTCAAACAAGGTTAAATGACTTAAATATATGTTCAATAAATTTCTATTTATCTTTGTATTATTACTTTGTTTCTATGTGAAAGTTTTGTAGATTATAAAACACGTTACATAAAGTACCTGTTCTTGAGGACACCAACTAGTCACCAAGCCTCTCTCTTTTGTCTCATCCACAAACTCTTGTGGCATCAAGGCCTCTTTGCCTCCCACAATGTCCGGCCTAGTTATCCATAAGAAATTCTTCTTGCTATTAGCAAGACCCCACCCAAACTCGATGAGTTGTTCTTTTGTCATTACTGTAATACTTCCAAAGTTCACGTAAACAACGGAGCCAATGTCTTTTGTGTCTAGCCACTTGATGCAATTATCGTCTTCTTTCCAAAGATTGGAGCCAATATCTTTGAGCCGATCATCATCAATATGTCGTTGCATCAAGTGTAGTGGGCCAATGGTGTAGGTTCGTGGGTTTATCTCAATTAAAGGGTTAACACTATCTTGTTCTAAGGCATCAAATGTGTTCAGCACAATAGCCGTACCCCTAGGAAGAGTTTCTGCTTCGGTCATAAGATAGTTGAACAAGATGTCGTTTATGTCTGTGGTTCGAATGAAGCTCGGTAAATCCCTTAGTCGTATGTTATTCATTCCAGGAATCCAATCCAAGCTTGTTTCCAAATACCCATTTGTTATGTCGTTTATATCTGTTACATTTAGTTAATTAGCATTGTGCATACAAACTTACATTTCTAATACAACAACAGATGGATTATCACAACAAATAGTTTAGCGAGATAATTCAAGAATTAGTTATTGGCTAATGGACTAAACTAACCATAGTTACATTATTAACTTGACATTTAATAGATTTAAGAATTAAAAACTTTTCTTTTTCCAATTAAAGAGTTTTAATTGTCATTAAAATTTAAATCTACTAAATGTCAATGTAGCATCTTACAATGACAAAATTTTATCAATTAAATGACAGATAGACTTGTCATATCTTTCGACTCTTCTATTGAACTCATCATTTCATATACTATTATTTCAAATCATATTCAAGTAAACCTGACATTCTTAGGAATTAATGTTTAATGTGATATCCTTAATTAAAAATACATATTTAACTAATGAAATGGTTAAATCTTTAAAATATTAATACCTCTTAAAATTCCATTCATCATTTCATATACTATTATTTCAAATCATATTCAAGTAAACCTGACATGCTTAGGAATTAATGTTTAATGTGATATCCTTAATTAAAAATACATATTTAACTAATGAAATGGTTAAATCTTTAAAATATTAATACCTCTTAAAATTCCATTCCAATGCGACAATGGTTAAATCTTTAACTATTAAAACCTCTTAAAATTCCATTCCAATGCGACAAAGGATGCCCACTTGACATCTCGACATCTCCGCTTATATGGGTGAACATTTAATAGTCAATTTAGTATTACAGTAAAAAAAATTAAATTACTTTATTCACAGGCATATCAACTGTTTGGACCGACTCTAACAGTGTCACTGGGGGGCACATCGATTAGGAAACGACTAAGAGGAGTACAATATCGACAATAATTTTACCTTTGAGGGGAGTATACCCCCTCTGAAGAAGTTCACGATAGCGAGTGTAACCCAAAAGCCCGCAGGCACTTGGTGTCCAGAACAATACTTCCGGCAACCCAAACCTCTCGGCAGCTGTAAGTGTAAAGCTCATGCACCCATCGGATATAATACAACTCACTGGGGGCACATCGGACTCCTCACCACCATTAAGCTTAGTGATAAGCTCACAGAAAGGTTCCAGACAGTGCTTAGGAACAGATTCACAGATGTCAGGGATTGACTGGGTGGCTTCAGCGTCAGATGGCGGAAGACCATCGGGAATGGAGTGAAAACGAAAATCTGGGAGGCCTTTGAGGGATGAAGGACCTCGGGATCTGAGCAGGCGCTTATGGTTGTAGTGGGTGTTGACGAAGGAGATATGGAAGCCCTTAAAGTGAAGGAGCTTGGCAAGTTTCATCATGGGGTTGATGTGGCCTTGTGCTGGATAGGGGATACATATGGCATGTGGCTTACAAAGTTCTGCTTCGGAACCCATCTGATGCAAATATGCAATACCTCTGTGTTTAGTGAGGGGAAGGAAAGAAGTGTTGTTGGTCGATCTTATACGAGGGTCAGTATGGGCAAAACGGGAGTTTTGCTTTGAAGTTTGAAGTTTGACATGGTTTAATCGAAGACCTCGTTCAAGATATTATACAATACAAAAACCCACGTTGTGCTTATCGAAAAAATTATTTTTAATTATTTATCCACGATTATCATGTATAGTATTTTTAAAGTATATATTATATAAATACTTTTTATATATTTCTAATAAATGAATCAACATGGTTAAAGTTTTAAAAAAAATCATGGCTTGGTCAGAACATAACATGGTTTCAAGGTTTATTTGTGGTTAAACTTCAACAAAATTTCGTTTTAAATTATATGTTTATATAAAAATAAATAATAGTAGAATATATATATATATATATATATATATATATATATATATATATATATATATATATATATATATATATATATATATAAAATTATCGCGTTACAATCGACGTAACTCACTACAACTTGAAAAAACTTAAAGTTTGAAATTGTAGTAAAGTGACATCTAATGTTATTTACACCACAGTGTGGCTTCTCAAAATGCTTCCAATATTAAAATTAAATTACCAACTTAATCTTAATCTATCTTTTACCCAATAAAATATTATTATCACTTTAATTTTTAATTAGCCATAGATTTTTTTGGTTTTTATTCGTAAAAATGTGATTACATTTAATTATTATGTTGTTTTGCTAATAAAAATCTGTTCATTCATTAAAATATTAATTTGTAATTAAATATTATATTAAATGGTTTAAAATGTACAAAACATTAAAAATAGTGTCTTTGGTATGCATTCTTTTTTAAATTTTGGTTTAAACATTGATTTTCTTTTTTAAATTTTGGTTTAAACTTTGATTTTCTTGGATTGGTGGTCTTTTGATCATGTTTGATTGTGATTTTGGTACTTTAAGAAACTAAAAGACTAAAATGTGTTTCTTATATATATATATATATATATATATATATATATATATATATATATATATATATATATATATATATATATATATATACTCTATTTAATTTAAAAGTTTTATTATTTAAAAATATGGGTCTCACCTCCTCTCTCTCTCTCTCTATCTCTCTCTCTCTCTCCCTTTTGACATTTGCAAATTTGAGAACTATTGAAGCTAGCATTCCCTCAATTACTCGCCTAACCGGCCTCTGTGTGTGAGTATGTTGATTTCAACAACTTCTACCATGGATTTCCAGGTGTGTATGTGTGTTTTTGTAAAGTCCCGAAAAACAGATCTACCAATGATCAAAGATAATCACAGATACAAACACGAATTAATAAGCAAATATAGAACAAAAATACCAAGCTTGCATACGCTTCAATGTTATAAAACTTCTGATACAACTTGGGAGAATACGAAAGTATCAACAACAAATAATGACTGACACAACCCTTATTTATAGGCTAGACTCACGACCGTAAAGAGTTTACGGCCGTAAACTCATTCTGACCGTAAACTCGTTACAAAACAATCATAACCACACACCTACTGCTATCAACTACTATACCTAGACCAAACCACTATACAGGGTCTTTCAATCTCCCCCTTGGTTTGGAATAGCTCGACCCCATTCCTTTCTTTACCAGCATGACATCCATTTGGCCCATAGCACCATTCCACATCCGCTTGCTCAGGATCTCAGCAACCATCCTGGTATACGCCTTGGCTTCCTCCTCATAGATATCTTCAACCACTTTGATCTGAAAATTGCTCAGGTAATGAATATCCCACTTCCTGAACTGAAGTAGGTCTCTTCGATCATACAACCGTATGCACCCATTCTTAAGCTTAATGACTGCACCACAAGTACTCTCATCATAAACCCATCACTCCATAGAACCAAGCGACCCATCTTGATAACCTTGAGCAATGGGAAATTGTTTAACTTGAGTCGTGGTTGGCCACATAACCACTTGCAAAGGTTTATCAGAAGAAGCTTCAAACACATCTGAATGTTCTAGAATGAATGACTCGGCAGTTGGCATTGTTGGGAAGCCCTTTTTGACTTGCTCATCCAGAAAGAATTTAAACTGCGAAACTTGAGGATTGTTTAATAGATTGATAAAATGAGCTTGTGATAACTCCGTAAGATCAACCCTTGTCAATGAACTAAAAGCACGAATATCTTTATACAACTCTGAGTTACCACTCTTGCGAATAATAATCCAAAGTCGAAGACGATCGTGAAATCCCCAAGCAGCCACACCCGATCGATCCCCAAAAGTATCTCTGAACCGAACAATTTCAAGATCAGTCACAGTGATCAAAGATCCTCCTTTAGAAGTACCCTGAGTAGCATTTCTCTTGAATAACAACTGCCCCTTCTCAGTATCATCTTCTTGATTTTTCCGAATGATCTCTTGAATATGAGAAGCCATAGGAGGAACAACAGCAATACGTTCAGCAGAACCAGAAGATTGACCAGTTGGCACATTTACTGGATATGCTTGCACATGTAAATTTATTCTTTGTTCTTCTATGTTCGTTTTATACTTCTCACCAAAATCATCCTCCAATTTCTTTTTCAATTCAAAGTAGCTCGAAGTTAGCAGATTGGAATGTTCTTGAAGATCAGAAATCTGCTTACTTTTCACTTTCTTATCCCTTTTAACTTCTGCCAAATGTCCGCCAAGATAAGTTCTATCTGACTGAAGCTTAGACACTTGAGTACGAAGCTTAATGTTTTGAGCACGAAGTTCAGCTACTTGAATGTCAAGCTCTATGTTCTTCTGAATTAGCACAGCAATCTCCTTTTGCAAACTAGCAAAAGATGAATCATCATCTGGAGCACCCCCTTTGTTTATAGAAATGCTCTTTCCTTGAGGACTGGACGAACGAAGCTGTTCTTCTGCCATGTGCAAAGCCAGCCTCTCAGAAGCAGCATCCTTATTTAATCTTGGAACAGGAAAACCGGGAGGAGCTGAGGGGCCGCCAACATCAAAAACTGAACTAGGTCCAGTTGCGAACATCTTTGTCGCAGAAAGTCGTGTAGTAGCAGTAGTAATTGGCAGTGTAGGAAGACCACTGACCAAACTAGTAATTAGCTCGGATTGTCTTTCATCAAGTCTTCTCCTCTTTGAATGAGGTTGATCAGCTTGTGGAGGTATTACACTAACAAATGGTTCAGTTGTAGGAGGAATAGATACAGGAGGGGAACATCCCACAACTATCTCCATTGGAATCGAAGTTGACACCATCTGCTCAGAAGTTGGAGTAAGATTTTCGCTTGACTTCCTCGTCTCAGTTGTCGGCAAAACACCATCATCGACATTTTGAAAAATTGTGTCAAGAGTCTCATTGGACACAACATTAGCACTACTAGCTAAGGAAGCCGCGATATCATCATTATCAAATCCCGTAAGATCAAGATCTTCAAATGAGTCATATCTATCATCACCGGTAACCATTTCCCTTTCATCTTGTCTTTCAGTCACATCTATTACTATGTTTGCTGGAGTCGAACCCTCAGTAGATGTTTTCTCAGAAGAAGTCGGTTCTGACGATTTGTATGCCACTGGCGTCTCATCTAATTCTGTAAACTTTCCAAATTTCTCCAATGGATAACGCCCTCGGAAGACAACTTTTCCTCTTCTGTTTTGTTTAATGAGTCTCACAGTGTGTGGACCCAAAGATTTCATATCCAAAGTGTCTCCCACTTTTCTAACTTCAGGAAACTGCATATCAACAAACACTTGAATGAAGCGGGGATATTGGAGAAAGCTATCCCTCGTAGAAGCTCGGATGTTTATTACAAATTCCTCTAGGATGAACTTCGAGAAATTGAAATGAATTCCTGTAGCCAAAGACACCATTGCACCAGTGGTGCATTGAGAAATTTCATCAGCCCCAGTCCTTCTACCCGATATGCAACTCACGAACACATGAGCTAGAAATCTCCAATATGGATGGAGCAACTTTTTCAACGTTGGCGGGTAGGTTCCCTCATAACTCATCCGTCGTAGTATTCTTTGAACATCTTAGATACCAATCTCCATCGGATAGTTAGGTTGATCGTCAATCAACAACGCCTCTCGAACAAAACTTTCATTGATCACGATGTCTCATCCTTGTACCTTCGCTGCAACCATGAAATTTCCATCATCATCCATCTGCGTCCTTGCCGTCTCCCAAAATTCACGAACAATGTTCTGATATATGATCGGATTGACTGTTAATGCTGATGCAACACAACATTCATGCAACCTGTGAACCATTGATAGCATATCGGAATGTATGACAGGTGGATCAGCAAGAATGATTGCTAGATTGTGCATGTCTGCAAACTTGAGATTTTCCATTTACGTGCACTCAAACACAATTGTAAGAAAACGACACCAACTTATTTTGACCATAAATAAGACAATAAAAATATGATCAAAATAGAATAAAAAAAAAATAAAAATAAAAAAATAAAAAAAAACCTTTTAGCAATTTGGTTCTTGGGCCGTAAACTCTAGTTTACGGCCTAAAGAACACCAAAAAAACTTGGTTTACGGTCTAAGAAAAAAAACGCTACGCAATCGTTACCAAATCTGTTTACGGCCAAAAGCAATATGAATTGAGAATCTGTTCTTGGGCCGTAAACTCTAGTTTACGGCCTAGAAATTGCTCTGAAAAATCAATGCGCAGTTATCACTGAAATCTTTCAAACGATCCAAGATAGTTACACTCGAATTCACGGGCCGTAAACTGGGAGTTTACGGCCTATGAATGTTTACTCCGACAAGTCGCTAAAAATCGACTATTTTCTTTAAGATAACAAACGATAAGCATATATTCGTGAACACAAAGATAAATAGCATCATAATAAAATAACATCTAATTGAACTCATCAACTTTCAGAGTTTACGGCCTATGCTTACGACCATAAACTCCTCGACTCGGTTTTTTTTTTTTTTTTTTTAATTTTGGCACACAATGCTATGGTGAACTGTGAAACAAAATACATATTCGAGATCTACACGATACTACCTTCACGATGATGTATTTGTTTTTCTGAAAATCGAAGGTAAATTTTTTAGCAACTTGAGAGCTTTTGAGAGCGAGTTTGCGGCCGGAAACTGTTGAGTGGGGAGATTCCGGCCGTGAACTCCCCTTTTTTTTTACCTTTTTACCTTTCTACCTTTCTTACCCTCTTGCCTGATAGCTACCCAGTATTTCCAATTTTTTCGCCAGTTAATTAAAAAAAAACTTTTGAGGATTAATTTAATTTAAAAAAAAAACTTTTTTAAAATAAAAACTAATACACCATAATTTTAAATGCTAGAAAAATAAAACAAATTGAAATAAAACAATAAAAATAAAAATAAATTAAAATAAAATTTGAAGTTGCAAATAAATAAAAATTAAATAAAAATAAAATTAAAATTAAAATAAAATAAAATTAAAATTAAAAAAACTTTAACTACTACTTCTTTTGTGATGCTTTGCTCAAAGTTGTTGGACGGCCTTTATCCACTTGTCGGTACCTTCCATATTCACATCTTTGTCTGGTCGATCGTCGGTATTGTTGTCCACTTAAACACGAAAAATTTGTGACAGATTTAGGACATACTATTTGTTACAAGACATGATGAACTTAGAAAGCTAAAATTTATATCTGATCCTAATTTCTTAGATACTATATCTTAAGGTCCATTCATCTGATGATGACCAGGGATATTGTTGTCCACCTAAATTGAGCAGCAAGATCTATAGACAATCTGTATGTGTTCAATTTTAAGTGTACTGGAACGTGTTTCCCGCTTCCTGATATGCCCCAGCCATCAAGAACTTTCCAGAGTACTCCTTACACCGGGTGAGCAGACAACCATTCAGAGAGATAAGAGATTCTGAATTCCATTGCTAACTACTTCAGAGGGGTTGAGAAGAAGAAGGTTGCTTATGCTGTGTACCAGGTCGGATTAGAAGTCGCGCAAAGGAGACAGCATATGGCTAACAGATGAGAAGTATTCACACATATATTTCATACACACACACACACACACACACACATATATATATATATATATATATATATATATATATATATATATATATACTGCAGAGAAATAGAGTTGCATATGTTTCAATCCAGGTCGGATCTCTTCCAATCACACAAAGGGTGCAACATATGACTAATAGACGAAAAGAAAGAAAATGATATTCTACAGACCTAATTTATCGGAATTTACCAATCGCCCCATCCAACCGGAATTAAGGACAGAATCCGCACATCGAGGAAAAGTTAAACCACGGTTCCAAATACGGGTTCAATTAATGTGACGAGTAGATTCCCATATATATCTCACTGCTCAACCTATCTGAGCGTCGTATTGTCAGGCTGAATGGATCTAACTAGGTCAAGATTTGTCAAGTCAATAAATTTCCTAAGTTCAACTCTGCCTAGTCATGTCCATTTTAAAAATTTTCGTGCCTACCGACGCATCAAGTCAGAGCATAGACCCTTCAACTTTAGGTACGTTACGCGGACTTAGGTTGTCCTTTATCACTTATTAATATCATTTCCCATCACTAAAATTCAACTTTCTGTAATTTTTTTTTGTTGTTTTTGGATTTTATTTCTCCCCCTAAATTTGTGCATGGGTGAGAATTTAAATAAATAAAAAAATGCGCAAATTTAAACAAACCTAACAAAAATTGAAAACAAACCTAATAAAAATTCAAGATATAGACTAATAAAAAATAAAATAAATAAATAAATAAAATAAAAAAAAAAAACAAAAGAAAAAAAAAACTTAATCCTCAAAACGTATCATTTTCAGAAATCCCACAAGCACATCAAAACGAGCTTTGTTAAAAGGCTTTGTGAACAAGTCAGCCACATTGTTATCAGTGTGGACTTGTTTGATTTGAATTAAAAATCGTTCATAAGAGTCTCTGATAAAGTGAATTTTAATATCGATGTGCTTGGTTTTAGAGTGTTGGACTGGGTTCTTAGCAATTTGTATGGCAGCTTCATTATCACAATAGATAGGGGTTTCTAAGTAATTCAAACCGTAGTCCAACAGCTGATGTTGGATCCAAATAACTTGAGAACAACAAGCTGATGCTGCCACATATTCCGCCTCTGCTGTCGAAGTCGAGACAGTGTGCTGCTTCTTGCATTGCCATGAAACTAGTCTGTCACCTAGGTATTGACATCCTCCTGAAGTTGATTTCCTATCAAGCTCACAACCTCCATAATTACTGTCAGTAAAAGCATAAAGATTAAATTCAGAATTCTTCGGATACCAAAGACCCAATTTAGGGCTTCCTTTGATATATCGAAAAATTCTTTTAACAGCAATGAGATGAGAGAGTGTAGGATTAGCTTGATAACGTGCGCATTGACAAACTGCAAACATTATGTCTAGTTGACTTGCAGTGAGATACATCAGGGATCCGATCATCAATCGATAAAGAGTTTGATCTACGGGTTCGCCTTCTGGATCTAGAGTCAGGAGAGGTCGTTCAGCCATCGGTGTTGAAGCAGATTTAGCATCATGAAGTGCGAACTTCTCAAAAATATCTTCCACATACTTGGCCTGATGAAGAAGGATGCCGGTTGAATTCTGTTTAACCTGAAGCCCCAAAAACATGGTCATTTCTCTCAAAGAGCTCATTTCAAATCTTTTCTTCATTACACTTTCGAACTCCTTGCAAAGTTGTTGGCTAGTTGATCCAAAGATTATGTCGTCGACGTATATTTGAACAAGTATCTGGTCCTTGTCGACATGCTTTATAAACAATGTTTGATCGATAGTACCACGTGTATAACCATGTTTGAGCAAATGCTTAGTTAGAGTTGCATACCATGCTCTAGGAGCTTGATGCAGCCCATACAACGCTTTGTCCAACTTGTAAACATGATTAGGAAACTTCGGGTCGACAAACCCTGGAGGTTGATCAACGTAGATTTCTTCCTTCACCTTGCCATACAAGAAGGCAGTCTTGACATCCATTTGAAAAATAGTAAAGTTCATATACGAAGCATACGCCAAGAAGATATGAATAGCCTCCAAGCGAGCTACGGGAGCATAAACCTCAGTGTAGTCAAGACCCTCGACTTGTCGAAACCCACGAACTACCAGTCTAGCTTTGTTTCGCACAATGACCCCTGAATCGTCCTGCTTGTTACGATAGACCCACCGTGTTTCAAGATCTCAACTAACTTCCAAACACCGAGTTTTTCAAATTGATGCAATTCTTCATGCATTGCATCCACCCAGCTAGGTTCATTTAGAGCCATTCCTACATTCTTGGGCTCAATTTGAGAGATAAAGCAAGAATACAAACATGTATTTACATCTCCACTTTGACTTCTAGTTTTAACACCACTATCTAGCTGGTCGATAACGTTCTCGATCGGATGATTCCGTTGAACCATAGAGGGTATTTCTTGGCTGATGTCATTGATAGAGACAGG